CTTTTGCGATGTTTACTGGTCATTGGCTCAGAAAAGGTGTGATTTTTTTTGTATTGTCTTAACACATTAAACACTGATGCGCGACACACCCCAACTTTGTGAGAAACCTTCACAACAATTTCTTTGATGGTTGATGCCTCGTTCTCCTCGCGCTAGATCTTATATATATTCAAAATGACCTCTTTCATTTCTGCACTCAGGTGTCTTTTTTTAGAGCGTTTCCTAGGTGGACTACAGGAGTTTACAACTTCATCGGCAGTATCTGTACTACTGGGCATTTTGCGCAAGCAGTTGATAACAATAACAATCAATAACAAGGTATAACAATAACAACGACAAACTCAACAACTTAATAAGATAACAAACGAAAACGTCCAAAGAAATATCAAATTGCAATGATGCACACGACATACGTAACACGTCTGAACCTGAATGTGACTCTGCCTTGATACGACTGCTCTGCGGCTCGGCATAGGCATTTAATTGCGAATTGACCAATGAGGGCTCCTGTTTTACGTCGAGACGGCGGCGTTAGCGTGAAAATCACCCGAACCTTTTGTTTACATCCGGTCTATCTCTTATCTGAATATACTGTAGTCTGCAAGCTGACATCTTATAGGCTTTTTTTTACGTTTTATAGGTTTTTTACACGATACCCGTGCCGTTCCAATCACCCGAATTCTCGCGTGGTAAAAGTGTGGCGCGTCCTAATACGAATTAGGTACCTTTACACTTACACTCTTTCGCGTGGGTTTTGAACGTGACGTTCCAATCGTGCGCGCAAGAACGGTAATGTAGATGTGAGTCGGGCATGTGCGCAAACACTTCGTACTTTAGTAAAGACTTGATTGCGGGAGAGGAACGTGAAGGTTTTTTGTGCATAATTTGAGTGTGCGTGAGTGATTGGCACGCGGTATAACAAATAAAATAATTACATTGTAAGTAAAGTTTATTATTGTAAAATTGTAAATTACATTTTAATTCATTTTTACAGATATTTTCAATAAATACTTATTTTGTGTGCCATGGGAGACAGTAGGTACTGGTCGAAAGAGTTTATAAGGCATTTTATTGAAGTTTATAAATCGTATCCGTGTCTATGGAAGGTCAGGTCAATAGACTATACAAATAAAAACCTAAAAAATAAAGCTTACGAGAAATTGGTAGAGGTCTGCAAAACCATTTTTCCTGAGGCAAATAAAGACTATGTTATAAAAAGATTCAAAGCTTCAGAGGTTCTTTTCGCAAGGAAGTAAAAAAGGTGGCAGAATCAATGCGAAGTGGAGCTGGGGCAGATGATGTCTACATACCCACTTTATGGTACTACGACCTATTGCTATTTACCAGTGATCAGGAAATGCCAACCGCTAGTATAAGCAATATGGATGCGGACGAATTAGAGGCAGGATGTGACAATGCGGCAGGAGAACATGCAGAGAATAATGAATGCCAAATACTACAAGAGCATAATAATGAAAGTGAATCTCAGGATACTGAATTACAAGAAAACACAGACACAGGCGTAAAAAAAAATGTATTAACACAGGTGAGTTATAATAATATAAATTAAGCTTTTCCTTTCTTTATCATGTCAAGTTGCCACGGAACTTTTCCTTCCAAATTAAAATATTGTTTGTACTTCTCGCGATTACTTTTAGCGTTTATTGTTACATTTTTTTGCGTACTTGTTCGTAAACTGGTAAGTTCGGTACTGCTATTCCGCCATTCACCCATTTGTAATTCGTGAGTCGCCAAATCTTCGTGATCAAACGATCTGAGAGGTGCATAAGAAGTCGTGCGTCTTATAAGAAAATTGTGCAAAGCACAAATAGCCAAAACCACGTAGGTGATATTTTGTGGATCGGTAATGTGTATGGCTGTGTGTAAAACTCGAAAACGTGCAGCTAGTAAACCAAAAGTATTCTCAACAACATTGCGTGCACGGGATAAACGGTAGTTAAAAACTCTATTTTCCAATGATAGATCTCTTTGTGGATACGGTTTCAAAAAATTTTCGTGCAGTGAAAATGCTTCATCGCCTAAGAAAACGTAATTAAGATGTTTCTCCGTTTCATCATTATTCGGCAAATGTAATTGACCTGAAAAAATTATCGTTTTAATAAAAAAAACCTCTTGCATAAAAAAATGACCTTTATTTTATACCTTTTGTCAATTTATCATAAAATTCTGTGTACTCCAAAATTCCTCCATCGGAATGTCTTCCATTTTTCCCAACATCGATGTAAATAAATTCATAATTTGCGTTTACAAGCGCTAGTAGAACGATGCTATAAAAGTTTTTGTAGTTGTAATATTGAGCTCCCGAATGAGGAGGCGGAACAATGCGTATATGCTTCCCGTCAAGGGCTCCCCCACAATTTATAAACTGCCATTGATTTTTAAAATCCGATGCTACTTGGCACCAATCGTCTTTTGTTTTTGGTAACTGGAATAAAATAATACTTTTAATTTTTTTTTTTTAGAATTCGCATGCTTCACAATCAAAACCACCCCTTTCCACACCCAAATCTACAAACGTGACCACAAGGCAAAAAGTCAAGAGCAACTTTAATAAACAAAATGCTGAATTCATGCAATTTTGCAGAAACCAGTTGCAAATGACAAACAATGTTATTAGTGAATATGATGCAGTTGGAATTTCATGGAGCGAAAAATTAAAACGGATGGATTCCACTCAAGCCATTTTGGCCGAAGCATTGGTTAATAAAGTTATGACCCAAGGATTATTAAAAAAGTTGACATGTACTACAACCCTGTCGGATACAGAGCAGACACGAAATACTTCAATTTCATCCTGCAGTCGATACACGGTATTATCAAATTCTTCTGGTCAGCAATGGCAGTTTACATCACCATCAGACCAGGACTGTAATCAACAGAGGCAGGTTTTATCACCTTCGGAGCAAGAATCTGATCAACAGTGGCAGGTTACATCACCACCAGTGACAGAACAAGCAATCGAGACCTCTTCAACAAATATAGTGGATTTTTATAATACTGCTGCAGATAATATAGATGGGTAAAACCCCTACCTAGCAGCAAATATTTTCTTTTTTAAAGTTGTTCTTTTCACTGTTCTTTTTTCTACGAAACCATTTATTTTTAAGATATACTTGCTGTTCGCTAAAAAATAATTATGTCTTTATTTTTAATAAACTTACCTTCAAATAAGTTTCTTTAAGAACCTGATATATGGCTTTGCATGTTTCGGGTATGATGTAGCATAAGGAAGATGGTGATATTCCAGTAGAAAATTTAAGATCTTCATAGGAGCGACCTGTCGCTAAGTAGCGTAATGTGGCAGCTAGTCTTTCCTCCGCACTAATACTTTCTCTCATCTTCGTGTTTTGTTTAGAAATAATAGGTGAGATCAATTCTAATAATATATTAAATGTATCAAAGTCCATACGAAGATAATTTTTAAAATCACTAGGATAATCTTGTCTTAGTTCTTTTAATAGTGGCATGTGACCATATTTGTTACGATCCTCCATCCATTTTTTCACCCATATGCTTCTTTTTCTTTTATTATTTATAAAATTTATTTGTACAGCCATACAAAGAGCCACTTTTAATTTATGCTGCTTTATTTTGTACATTTTGTTATATCAATCCTTTCAGAATTTCTAAAACGCCTCGAGAACGGTCAAATCCGCGCGATAACCAACACTTTTTACTTTACACTGACATGTTTTTCCTTTTACGTTATATACGCGCGGTTAAGTCTGCGCGAATGGAACGTTGAATTTTTTATTTTCCTAGTAACACACTCTTGGAACGCTACGTTCTTGAAGCGCATTATTGGCCGCACGATTGGAACGCCGTTCAAACCCCACGCGAAAGAGTGTAAGTGTAAAGGTACCTAATGTCTTAAAAATTGCAACGGCTTATCGCACTGTTAGAGTGTGTGGCGTGGAACGGTATAGGATAAAAGTGCCAATAGGTACCATTAGATTTACACTCTTTCCTGCGGGACTGGTACGCCCCCTTCCAATCATGTGCGAAAGCTTGGCAGTGTGATTTTCGTGCAGGTAAAACATTTGATTACATTTTACTTTCGCGCGGGCAATCGTACATAAGTTGTATTCTAGCGTGGGTAAGTATTTTATTGATATATATACATATACAAAATTTAAATCATGTTAATTGTTAGGTAGGTAATATAGCAGATTCATGATATTGGTCGAAAGAAGATGTTTCACAGTTTATTGAAAGATATAAATCTTATCCATGCTTATGGAAAATCAAATCCCGAGGATATACAGACAGAAATTTAAAAAATGCTGCTTACGACAAATTAGTAAATATGTTTTTCTTAATACTTCATATACGTATAGCTTTACATGACTCAGGTATAATTTTACATAAAGATGGTGCGGATATTCCACTTGAACATTTCAAATCTTCAAGCGAACGACCTGTAGCTAAGTATCTTAAAGTAGTTGTTAGTCTTTCTTCGGCATTTATGCTTTCACGCAATTTTGTGTCTTCTTTAGAAATCATTGGAGAAACCAAATCCAACAAAATTCCAAATCATTCAGAATCCATTCTCATATAATTTCTAAAATCCATGGGATAATTATCACGCAACTCATGGAGCAGAGGCAATTGTCCATATCTGTTGCGATTTTTCAACCATGTTTTCACCCAATACTTTCTTTGTATCTAATTTGGAATATTTACATACACAGCCAAGCACAAAGCTGCTTATTTTCCGTTTTTTAATTATTTTATCCATTATGAGAATAATAACCGCTTTGAAAGCTGTTGAAAATTTCAAGATTCCACGTGCCACGAATATCTCTCGCGAAATATGGGTTTACATTAGCACTTTTATCCTATACCGTTCCACGCTACACACTCAAACCGTGCGATAAGCCGTTACAATTTTTAAAACAATTCGTATTAGGACGCGCCACGCTTGGCCGCGCGAGAATTTGCGTGATTGGAACGCGGCGTTCCAATCCCACAGGAAAGAGTGTAAATGTAAGCCGCGTATCGACTACGCGCTCCATGAAGTCGAACATTGGCGCGCGTTCCAGCCGGGTGAAATGGATACCGCCTTGGAACGCGCGCCAAATTGTTCGTTGGAACGGTCAAACGTGGAGCGGACCGCTCCATCTGGTGTCGGTTTTATAACGCGTATCAAAGGAGGTTCAGTAATCAGTATTGGCTCGCGCGTCAGTTGAGACGGTTGTTCCGGAATTATTGTGGAATAGCAAAAGTCCTTTTTATCATAATAAAGCGCTCAGAGAAGATGCATGGAGAGAAATAAGCCCTGAAATAGGAGTATCTGTGCCAGAACTGAAGAAAAAAATGACCGTGCTCTTGTCATCTTACAGAAGAGAAAAATGGAGAATATCTAAAAAAAATACTGGCTCTGGTAATTATCTACACTGATATTTATGACTAAACACTAATATCTTGTTTAAATATATTGTCTGATAACTATTTGTATTTAATATAAAACAAAAACCATTTTCGTGGGTTCACTCTAAATAAAACTAGTTAAGTTCTCATACGTATTTTAATTGTTTATTGTTTACAGGTCGAGATAGTATTTATGTATCAAAATGGTTTGGTTTTGACGATTTCAGTTTTATGCAAGACAAGCTTACACCCAATAACACAACAGACACTATGCAGGTACGTAAATGATGTCAAATATTTTTAATACCTATTTTTCCATTGTATTTCTCCATTAGTAGCGAAATGTTTTGCAAGATGTAAGCGTATTTCTTTAGCGTCATTTCCACTTCTACGTGGTAAATTAGTGATAGGAAGTAATGATGAAGATTCACTGTCATTTCTCCAACTTCCAAGTATTATTTCAGTATCGGTTTCCATGTCTAAAGATCCATGTGGCGTGTATTGGAAAGTGGAGTTTTTTCTCAAAAAGTTGTGTAAAACTCTAAAAACCGAGCTTGCGATTCCGAAAGCATTTTCCACCACTCTACGTCCTCTTGACAGACGATAGTTAAACACTCTTTCAATAGAACCTCTCTCTGGCTCCCCTTGGAATGGTTTCATTGTGTATTCATTTAGTGCGAAAGCTTTGTCTGCCAAAATTACGTAGGGCACTTTAAAGACATGTGGTATTTGGAGTATAGATGGCTGAGGAATTTTCATAAACTTTTCTTCGAGTTTTTTGTATAATGTAGTATGTTTAAAGATCCCTCCGTCAGAAAGTCTTCCCTGACAACCAATGTCAATGTATCTAAAACAGTAATCTGCGTCTACGAGTGCAAATAGGACGATACTAAAAAATATTTATAGTTATAATATTCCGTGCCGCTGTTAACAGGTGCTTGTATCATAACGTGTTTTCCATCCATGGCACCTATAGCATGAGGAAAATTCCATTTTTCTTCAAATTCTTCCGCAATATTCAACCATTCTTCCTCTGAGGTGGGGATCTGTAAAAAATACTTAAATAAATATACGCACGTTTTTCCAGGAACCTACATCACATAATCAAGGTGAATCTTCACAAGGAACTTCACAAGAAACTTTACAACAAAATAATGAAGAAAATATTGTAGGGAGGTCAGATAATATGAATGAACAATCAAAAGAGGTTGATACCTCCAAGGTTCCAGAAAAACCTGCTAAGAACGCAAAGAAACGAAAACATGATGAAGAGGAAAACGAAATGTTGACGGAAGCATTTAAAATTCCTACTGAAACGTCTCAAGCTACTTACTGATCCATATTTCAGTTATGGCCAGCACATAGCAAATGAATTGAGAAAGTATGACAATCACACTTTAATATACGTGAAACAAGCAATAAATAATGTCATTTTTGAGGCTGATTCAGGCAAGTACAGTCCAACCTATCGGTACACGACACAACAAGATATTCAAAGTTCCTCAACACCTGCTTTACATGATGATTCCTCAGCCACAATGTCTCCTAATGATAATGGACAATTATTATTATTACAATAGTTATTATTATAAGAGTTAGTTGAATAAAAAGAAGTTTCTTAATATTTCGATTTCTTTACTCACCTTTACCCAATCCTTCAAAACCTCACTGATGGCATCACACACTTCAGGGACTATTCTAGATATAGATTGTTTTGAAACCCTAAAAAGGTACTGAAGGCTATTATAAGAGTCCCCAGTGGCTAAAAATCTTAAGGTTATAGCCAACCTTTCGGTCACTGTAATAGCTTCTCGAAACTGGGTGTCCATTTTGTTTACCCTTGGCTCAATGAAATATCTCAATTGATTCAAGTCTTCCGTTGATATTCTTGTAAAGTTTTTTGTTGTGTCATCAACAGCTTCAAACTGCATATGTCTCATAAGTCTCACTCCATACTGCAGTCTATTTCGGTACAATTCTTTCATAAACCAACGCACTTTTCGTTTCTGTTTTTTCTTGTGTATAATATTGTGAATAAGTATAAACGCGGCAGCTGCTCGTACACGACCAACATCCATGCTGAACGGTAAAACACTGGAACGGTCGCCACGCGCGCCATGAGCGCTTAGTTGATACACCTCAAACAAATGGAACGCGTTTCACGGAACGCATTCACGGCGCGGTCATTCCTCGCGCGCGCTCCAGGAGCGCGTAATCGATATGCGGCTTAAAGGTACTTAATGTAAAACAAAAACTTTCGCGAGTGATATTCGTCGCATGTGGAATCTTGAAATTTTCAACAGTTTTCACGGCCGTTTTTATTTTCATAATGGATAAAATAATTAAAAAACAGGAAATAAGAGCAGCTTTGTGCTTGGCTATGTATCGAAATATTCCAAATAAGAGATAAAGAAAGTATTGGGTGAAAACATGGTTGGAAAATCGCAACAGATATGGACATTTGCCTCTGCTCGATGAGTTGCGTGATAATTTTCCACGGGTTTTAGAAATTATTTGAGAATGGATTCTGAATGAATTGGAATTTTGTTGGATTTGGTTTCTCCAATGATTTCTAAACAAGACACACAATTGCGTGAAAGCATAAGTGCCAAAGAAAGACTAACAAGTACTTTAAGATACTTAGCTACAGGTCGTTCGCTTGAAGATTTGAAATTTTCAAGTGAAATATTCGCACCATCTTTATGTAAAATTATACCAGAGTCATGTAAAGCTATAGGTATATGAAGTATTATGAAAAACATATTTACTAATTTGTCGTAAGCAACATTTGTTTAAATTTCTGTTTGTATATTCTCGGGATTTGATTTTCCATAAGCATGGATAAGATTTATATATTTCAAAAAACTCTGAAATAACTTTTTCGACCAATATCGTGAATCTGCCATATTACCTACACATTAACATGATTAAAACTTTGTATATGTATAATTATCAATAAAATACTTACCCACGCTAGAATACAATTTATGCACGATTGCCCGCGCGAAAGTAAAATGTAATCAAATGTTTTACCTGCGCGAAAATCACTGGCGCGAATATGCGAGTTTGAATACGTCTAAAAACCGAGCAATTATTTCTCATTTACACTGGCATGCATTCGCACACGATTGGAACGGGGCGTGCCAATCCCGCAGGAAAGAGTGTAAATGTAAAGGTACCTATAATTTGAAGGCATGATGAGTCATAGGCGACACAGCGCCAGTGATTCAGGACATATACGAACACTGGTACGCTGGCCACGGCCGTTAGTCAGCAGACGAAACGACGCGTGCCGAAAACATTATTCTATTGTTTAAAGGCAAATATTCGGGGGCAATCTATGACGTGTGAAATATGTCTAATAGGTGTGTAGGATTATCCGAGTTGGAAGTGTATGAATATACTACAAAAAATTGCGATTCCCCTTCCTCCACCCCCATGCAACCACTTCAAAAATGAAGAAAAAATAATTAATTCGAGGATTAACTTCAACACCCTGTACCATCATTAAGCGATATTAAGCTCACGTGTTCGTCTAAGACTCAAGATTCCTTTTTGGTGAATAGATTGCAGATCACTCTGTATTGTATTATAGGGTAGAGATCTCAGGTGAGATTTAGAATAGCCACAATGTTTTGTTAGTGAAGATTCAATTCCCTCTCTACTATCGGATGCCGAATCTTAATCAACTACTCGTATAGCAATCGAAGTCTCATACAATATAAATTAGGCAGATTTAATCAAAGATTAACTTTGTACGAGAGCGTATACTTCTGAGGAAGTTCAGATTCTCGGTATCGCCGGTCGTGCTATGTTAGGAAGTCGCGCTACTTTTGGAAGTTGTGGAGAAACTTTCCTGCTGCCGCGCCCGTACAAAAGTTGTTCGCGTACAACGCTGCGAAGAGGAAAGTTGTTGGGAACTTTCCGAATACATTTTAGTAAACGCTTTATGTTTTTTGACAACTTTTATTATTTCAGTTAAAAACCGCGCTTTGGTTACCGAAAGAACGCGGCGCTGAGAGGTTGTTGGCGCTGCGGGACATTGAAGTTCGATACTCCAGTTATATATCCGGACCCTGTTTTTGTCGAATCAATGCCCGTAGTTTCGGGTAAGAATTGGTGTCTATATAATCAGGTATCAATTGATAAGTGAAAAGTTTTATGTCTCTCCGTATTGTGGTTCAGATGTGATGCTGACAGACTGGATAGACCATCATATTTTATATATAGAGAAGAAAATACAGTTTGCTAAATAGCAGATAAATGTGCCTTACCCGCCTAGCAGCATTAAAGATTCCATGATAAAAAACGAATAACTATATATTCACAGTATGAGACTTGAAGTAAAACAAAACACCAAACAAATTTTAATCAATACGATCACGCTGAGTAAACGAATGTCGAAATGCAACTGCACCTGAACGCTTCCACGCCAGACACCTCTTGTCAAATTCCATTAAGCCGTTTGGACTGTAAACGTAAAATATGAAAATTGCCGTATTCTGTCGCTTTTATTGTATTCAAATTGATCATGTGATGGAATCAATTTTCCGTTGTGATATTTCGGGCCTAATGTCGCTTCTACTACTGAATTCAGAACGTTAGAAATTATTGACCCCAAACACCTTTCTCCCCACTTCTCAAATATATAATAACTTTCAGCACCGTTATTTCGATCAGTATCATTGCTGTCGCAATAACTAATTCGAAAAACAGCAAATATTAGTATGCGGGGATGTCCAACGTTTAGCTAGTCATGCTAAAGAATTTGGTGAGACACATTTGACCTCCGATAGATTTTGCGACTTTTATTATGTCATTTTACATAACTCCACCTTAGCCTATGCTTCTGCAACATTACCAGCTGCAACTTCCTTCATATATAGGTGCTATATACAAGCGCACCGGCGAACAGAAGACCAGTGTTGCCAGGTCAAAAAAAATAAAATTCACCAGAAATTGGATTTAATTTAAAAAAGATCACCAGGAATTATTTTTAGTTATTTTTTAAGCTGCATTACTAGTTGTAAACGAAATAAATGCATTTGTAATATTTGTATACAACTTGTTATTTAAATAGTTTAATAAAACAATTCACTATAAATTTCCTGATACTGTGGCGAAGGCAGTAAAATATTATTTTATTAGCACCTACCTAAGATACAATTTGAAAATATTTTTCCCGTTGTTTTGTATGATTTTTTTGAACTACTTTCTAATACCCAGATCAGAATTATTATAAAAAAATCCTATATTTTTTACCAAAACAAATTTTTATTTTTCAATGTGATAATAATACAGTAGTGCGGTGCAGTAGTACAGTAGTGTAAGTGAATTAATATCCATCTAGAAGCATCATAGAAACTAAAAATTACACATGTAACAGTTTTGTAATAATCCTGAATTAATACAAACTATCTAATTAAATATTACATTTTTACAAAAATAATAAGCATGTATATATAAAGATTTCTGATAAGAAAAAAGTCTATACTTACAGTTTACAGTACTTATTAAATTAATTTATCTTATACATCTCATTGTTGTGTAGTGATATTTTATTTGATACATCAAGTATTATTAGTATTAGCGCAATCATGTTAGCAAATTTCCCCGAAATAACTGTAGTCTGGTTTTATTGGTGCAAGTTGTTCAAAGAGGTATTCAATACATGGACGTATAAAATGGGTACACCAATTTTTGTGGGAAAACATTTTATTTGACAACAAAGAATGAGAAAACGTGTTTTTTGGGACCCAATCGAAAGTGTTGAGAGGAACGAAAACACTTTTTTAATAAGATTTTTAGGTATTTATGAGACCAACAAAATGATACCATACGTAAAATGATCCGACTAATAGCAAAAATGTTATGGTTGAAAAACAGCATAAAAATAACATTTATCTTCCGGAATTGTTTGTGATTCATATCGGCAAGGTAAACTAGTGTATTTAGCTATAAAATGCCCTTTGACGTAACCCTGTATATTGCTCAATAAACTAGTAGTGAAGGCAGGAAAACAGGTGTTTTTGGATCAACAATTAGATATTCTCAAAAACTACCTGACCACTCTACTTCAATTTTGTTGTGGTTGTTTAAAGTACGAATCATACGAGTTTGAAGAATTTCAAGTATCTGCGAGAAACCATCGTTGCATTACCAACAAGTCCCAAAACCTGCAGTTTGCCTCGGTTTTCGGCCATAAATTTTTTGCTATTAGTCGGATCTTTTTACGTGTGGTCTCATTTTGTAGGACTCATAAATACCTGAAAATCCTATATGAAGAGTTTTGCCGTTCCTGTCAACACTTTCGATTGAATCTCAAAAACGCATTTTCTCATTCTTTGATGTCGAATAAAATGTATTCCCACAAAAATTGGTGTATCCATTTTATGCGGCCATGTTTTAAATATCCCCTTTACAATTATTTCGCAAACCAAGGTATTTTCGTCTAATATGATTAGACTATATGCATAATGCCACTTAATGTTGTTTCCCCCAGTTTATTAATAAGTTTAGTTTTATTTAGATATATACTACTAAACAATGATAATTTATCTTGCAAATTTTAAAATGCACAATCGGACTGTATCAGTTTAATAGGATTAAAAAATGGTGAACACTATATTCTTTCAAACATACAAATTATAAAAAAGCGCTGAAGTAATAATAGATTATTATCAGATAATGGATAAAGTGTTCGCGACGAAACGAAATGACGAAAACCAAAACAAGAACAAGTGAAATACTGTGGTGAATCCCACGACAGTTTAAAAGAATCACCGGAAAGATCTCCAAGAGCGTAGTGATGGCCAGAGTACATCGATACGTAACGATACAATAAGCGAAGTCGGCAAGCGCGGGTACCGGTTTTTGGTGTCTGAAAGATTGTTAAAAATATTCAAAATCGACGGAATTTTAAAAATCACCAGATCTGATGAAATTTCACCAGACCTGGCAATACTGCAGATGACAAACCAACGGAAATGAGTGATATGTTTTCTCGTGATGCACATTATGATTAAAGGCAAAATAAAAAGGCAAACGCTTTATTACCTCGCGTATCTTCATATCATACAA